ACGGTGCTGTGCAAATTAATGAATGGCTGGGCTGAGTTCAAAACTAGTTGACTATTGTATTTGGTTTTCTTAAACACACTCTTTGTATAGCAGAAAACAGAAGTCATAGTAGTAATTGGAGCAGTTCATCTAAATTCCAGTCTAGTTCCTGTTTTCATTTTTGTTTCAGACTTCAAATCTAATCATCTCAAATCATTTTATACAGGAAAAAGGAAGTAAAAAGTAAAATCACTTCCCAATCTCACACCTTTAGGCCCCTCAGGTAGCTTTTCAAAGAACTGTTTGATTGACTGATTTATACTAACTTTATGTAAAACCTGGGAGATTTTCTGTTAAAGTTTAAATCAATTACAAAAGGAAGAATAACCTTGCAGAGTGTATACGTGTTGTTTACTAAAACACACTGTAACATATTTTAAGATATTTGCGTGCCGTTTTAGCGACGCATTATCTCTATAACGACGAGAATGCCAAATTCTATCGGCTAATTTTGAACTTCTCCACTATGTGTTTGGTTTGTAACCTGATACGATGAAACTTATCGAAGAGGCGCTTGTTCATGACCGCCTACTTGATAAGTCATGCAAACGTTACGAGTGATAAAGTTTATGCGACGATTCAGGACAACCAAGGATCTTTTCGCTTCCAGTTGTTTTAAAACTTAAAACCCTTTATGTAGGAGGTAAATGAAAGAAGTTAAAACGGTTAAAAACATGTCTTCGTTGATTTTCAGAATTTTGGAAATGAACTCTGACAATAGCGCATCGGAGGAAAAGCATTTATTTGCATTGTTTTCAAGATGTTGGTAGATGAAAGCTAGTGGCTATCAGTGACCAATTGGTGTAGAAACTTTCCACTGATATGCTTTTCCAGCCCGATTTGCGACTACATATTAAGAATTCTTTCGCACACATTGTTGGATTTTTGGTATGCAAATTATATTTGAAACTCTGACCACGCTGGTATGGATAATATTTCATGTAAAGTTTCCATATTTTATTTATACTCTGACTGAAAAAATCCTGCAACTGAAGCCAGAGAGAATTCCGTGAGCTATATTATTGCAGTCTCAGGGGTTTAGCCAAAAAAATCAATTTTAGCTTATAACGACGCAAAAAAAAAGAGAATTCGAGAGCAACTAAACTATTTCAGAGACATATGTCTTAAACTGTTTTTTTTATGTCCAAAATTATGTCCAATCTTGCCCTTACCAAAAAAGTAAAGGGAAACTTTTTCCCGACGGGAATTCGAGAGGCACTCTCTTAGCGAGAGCGGCAATGAACCACAGAGTTCCCTTCAGTGATGCCATGTTTTCTAAAAATGTGCCTTAAAGTCTCCTTGAAAACTTGGTCAGAATACCACAGAGTTAGAAACTTGAAATCTTAAGAAAACAGATTTGTAGGCTTTTTTTTTCGTGCGCTTGCATTTTTACTGAGTTTGACTACTATTTTCTTTTTTCTTTTGATGCTGCCTATAATTATTGAAACGTATACAAAAAGGATCCCTTAGAATAGCGAGTGAAAGATGGAAATAACTGCGTGAGGAGAAAACTAACAAAGTTATCTATTTTAGTACACATCATTTAATCTAATAGCGTCTCTGTGGTGGGCTGTTAGACATCTTTAATATATCAGAATGTGATTGGCTATCATATTTCTAGGAAGTTTCGGCTATCATATTTTTTGGCTATCATATTTCTAGGAAGTTTCGGCTTGATGGGTTACTATCATTTCGTATAATAATGGAGCTACGCTGCGCGAGCTGCGAGCTCCGCCATGATCATGGTGCTACTCTGCGCACGCTACGAGCTCCGCTATGATTTAAGACAACATTGCGCTGAACGAAGTTCAAGTACCATTTTAGTGCCACTGTTTTTTGTTAAATTAAGCAATGAGGTTAGTATGATGTCAGTCATAAAACACCGAGGACTTAAACACTGTTAGACAGAAATACTTGTTTGACGACCTA